TTTCATATCAAAATTCAATCATTTTCTCGGTTTTGGACCGATGCTTGCATGTGATATCCAAATGCTCGTGGCAAAGTGCATTATGGGTGGGTTTTGACGCCAGGGATCATATGGTGTTAATCATTTAATCAACATTTCTATGACGTTTATAGCAATTTGAATTGTTTCACTCATACTGCTTTAAAAAACACATTGTGGTGATTATCCAACCATTAAAAGATGAGACATTATTTCAATTATTTCTCTGGCTGCCTTTATAATAATGAGAAAAAAAGCTTTTTTGTATTTGTTCTTTTGCTCACCTGTATGTTTGTTTGAATTCCAGTTCTGCCATACAGGCTGTAAACGTTTTATTAGGCTCCCCTCACTCTTTCTTTCTCCCTGAACAAAAGGTTGTTATACTCTGAGCTAGACGTGTTTCCACACACCCACACTTAATGACACCCTCATAAAGTAGTGTTTCCGGCATATTTTTCCATCTGGTTTCAGTATGGATGAACTTTAAGTTGAATGTAATGAACAAAGTTTTGTCCATATAACACAGCTCCCATTTGAAGGGTGATGGGGAGATAATGAGCCCTAGACTGGCCATAATATCATGCTAGCAGCAGTGGATGACAGGCAAGTGTGTGTGTGTGTTTGTGTGTGTGGTTGTGTGTCGTGTGTGTGTTGTTCCATATGTGAATATATAACATCATAAAAAATAAATCATATAAAATACTGTTATCCACTAAGTTTATTGTGAAAGTAGTACTATACATTTCATTCTGGCTTCAAAGTGTTTTTGGTCTCCTTTTGTCATCATCTATTCTTTGTCATTAGATTGTATTTCCTGAGGCTGCTGAAAGGACAGAAGAATGGAGCTCACTGCTGCCCCCCAGAGTACATCCCAGTCCTTACACCTTCCTCACGACTATACTGAGAGATTTTTTATAGTGTGAATACTGAAATATTGAGCTGATTTTTAACAATGAGCCCTGGTGTCTGGGTGAGTGCTGTGTGCATACACCTCAGCATCACTGAGAGCCTAAAGGGGACTTCCTCTTCCTTTTCTGTGTTTTTGCATCCACAGTGAGGTCAGAGGTCAGGCAGCATGTGTCTCTTACAATACCAAACTGCACAAAGTCATTACACATATACAACTNNCCTTGTACAGAAAGGTGTGCCGTCTTTGAGCCATACTCCCCCTGCACAGCGCAGGTGACTGGGCCGGAGTACCTGCGGGTGACGTTATGGATGGTGAACTCCACACAGCGGCTGTCACCACTGGAGCACAATCTGGCAGAAAATTGCTCAGGGGATGACGATGATGATGATGATGATGTTTTGTTACCGGTGAAAAACACAGTAAGGACCAGCAACCCTTCGACACTCCAGGTCATTACCTCCCACTTTCCCTCCACAGTGGCGTTGAATTGCACATCAGAGCCTTTTAGCACTGTTGCGTTAAGCGGTTCCAGCTGGAACTTTTGTGACAGCACTGAGTACAAAAGAGACAATATGTCAGGCAGAAATGAGAGACGAACTATATTCACGATAGAAGACATAGAATAGAACTTTGCATCTTGCCACTTAAGGATTTCATTTGGGTTTAAATGCCTTTTCTGTTTGACTGAAGCAGCTCTGTCATTTGTGTTGCGATGACTGAATATTGTCAGGCTGATTTTTTACTTTCATACAACACCTACCCTATTATGTACAGTGCCCGTTCAATGTTCAGTTTGAGGGGTAGGACTATATGTAAAAGCACAGGTTTGCTGGTAAGTTTTGCATATAAATATTAGGTCTCACAAAACATGTAGATTATTAAATTTATTTTAGTGAAAATAGATCATGTAAAGTTTATTTTATTGCTGGAAAATTGCTTGATTGTGTGATTCTTTTGTATGTGTGTTTACTGTTGGTCACACACTGTAAGTCATTTTAATACTTGTGCACCTACTATGCACAAACTGGCATCACTTTACCCTCAGCGAGTTTGTGCTGAGAATTTGACAATCCGTACACTTAATATACATATACATGTATACAATTACTAGATGGAATTGCTTAAAAAAAGATAAATTTAAATAAAAAGATGGCTGGTTAATTGGAAATCTGCCTCACAGAGACTCCCTGAATGAAGTCCAATCCAGAGGTTGAGGCCAAAGCTACTGATGAATAGAGGTCACAGTTTAGCTGACAAGGGTAAGGGTTCCTTTTGGTGGTATAAGCAAAATGTTCCTCAGCTTTGGGCAGTAACTCTAATAAATAGTTATTTTTAATGCTGTTGGCATCCTCTAAAAATCAATGAAACAAGGCAGTGGAAATAGATTTTTGTGTGATAGGCAGCACATTGCAGGGTCAAAAGGCCTGCATGTTATGGAGACACATAACGCTCTTTGTTCAAATCAGTACTTGAGACATGTTTGACTTTGCACAAGGCAGGAAAATATTACAAAGGACACTGGTTTTGTTTTGTTGGTTTTTGACAAGACTGAAACTCAAACACAACATTCATCTATACTAATCCTTCTTATGTCGAGCACAAAGGTTGAGGCAGAGTTCATGAACATTGTCCTGGATGTTTTCTTCTATTGTGTTCTTCTGTCTCTCAAACAGTCAGCTGTATCTGAAATGAGTTGTTTGCATTTTGATGAGAACGATAGATTAGATTTGCAAGCGTTTCGTTTGCTTCAGCTTTTTTTCCCTTCAAGGCAGCACTAAGGGTAATGTTTGACCTGCTGTGGTGTTCAGAAAGGTTACTCTAAAAGTACTCTCCCTGAGTTCCCAGTCACAGCTCTGACTTGATTTGCAAAGTAATTTAAAAACCATTAACATTAGTTGAGAGAAAAGTGGGAAGCAAACGACTAGGAAGGACACAATGTTAAGTCACATCCCGAGTGGATATAAGGGTTTTAAGCTTTTTCATTTCCCCATAGGGATCATTAAAGTTTAATTTATTCCTCTTGTCACACCACTTACTTCACAGGTCTTTTAAAACTGCTATTATTAAGAATGAAACGTATACATTTCACACAATGGAGGAAATCTATACTTCGTATTCAGACAACAAATTGCAAATACAATACATTCTGTCCACTTCAGCAGGATCTTACTTATTATATACAAGTATTTAAAACAAGAATGCTGACCTCCAGTTGCACACAGTAATAAACAGATGCAGAAGAGGTTAGGCAGTGATTTCCAGGAAGCCATGCTAGTGTTGTTATGCTGAAAAATGAAAGAGAGACAGCGGTGAGATTTTGCAGCAATATCCGTTGTCCTGTTCAGAAATGTTCAGAAAAAGCTCTTGTGCATTTGGTTCATGAAGTTAAAATAATATTTGTATCCACATATCAAATCTTAGTACTGATTGTCCAATACCAGGGTAAAGTGACTTTATGATTTAGTAGGTACAAGAATAGATGCCAAAAGAAGTTAACCCTTTAATGCGGACTATATTTAGTATGTTAAGAAAAAGCCCCACACATTTGTTTTCTGTAAGAGGTGGATTACAAAATCTGCTGTGGAAACTGACAAAATCAAAAATGTGGATTTCCACATATTTATCATGCCCTAATTAGTAGACAATGTTGATTTTCTTTAAAACTGACTTGAAAAAATGTCACTGGATTTGTACCCTACTGTAAAGGAAATGATTCCACAGTGGGCATTCAGGCTCTATAGTGGGAGTTCAACTTCATTTCAATAACACAAGACCAAATTTCTTAGAGGACAGGGCATCAAGAAAATGTTGATGACATCCTCTATCAGCTTAGCTTGATTCTTGGACAGAGAGCTATTTCCTTTTCTAGACACTGAAATTGTTATAATGATTTTTTTGTCATTTAAATGAATTCTACAAGCCTATTTCTGTTCTTTAACCATTCCATCATTTAGTCAGGCAAAATAAATATATCACAAAAAATAGGAAAACCTATATTATCCAGTTTCATTTTGGAACATGCTGTCTTCACACTTTTATAGCTTTTTCATACTTGGCTAGTGTAAATATCAAAACATGCGACTTTTATAAATCGGAGGTCAAATCTCTGCCTTCGTAACTAAATATTCCTCAGAAGTAACAGCATCTTCAGTTAAATAAACTTACTGTGTGAGAGCTCCCGCTGTGGTGTGTGGACTGGAGCAAAGCTTCATTTCCTGAAACAGCAGGGCTCTACCTGAGACTGTGAAACTCTCACAGGGAGCAAGGTTCAGGTTCAGGCCATTGAAACCCAGCCCTTATCACCTCAGTGTCAGTAATAACTTCCCAACCAGCCGCTCAGTTGTGGGTGTGAGGTTGACGTTTTTCCTAGGGGCTGAACAGACAGGTGAGGTTGTGTCTTATCAGAAGATTAATTCCATGTTCCCATGTACCTTGTTTGTTTGTGAGTCAGTCAGCTTCAGCCTGCTTTTATTGCCTGATACTCTTGGTGAAGTAGTCGTCTCTTTTTGTCTTTTATGCTTTGGAGTAAATGTTTTCCACCATGGTCATGTTACAGAAAGTCTTATCTTTATTCTTTCATAACATGAATTGCAGTTTTATAATATAATATAAGGGATACAGTTTACTCTTACTGCTGTTGAGAGAACAAAAGATAAAAAAAATAAACTAAAAAACTACAAGTACTGAATACTTATTTGTATTTATTTGTTGGACCGACACAAACACATTTTTTTCTGTCAAAGTGTTGGTTGTTTCACATTGGAGATTTTTTTTCTCTGTGCTTATCTCACTGGTTTGAAGTTTATGAGACTCAGTTATAAAAGGTTGATGTCATGTGGGCCTGTGCACCAATCAGAATTGTACAATATTTCAGAATCTGATGACAGTTGCACAGTCCTGATGACGCAGATTAGCCAGTTGTTCAGTGTTAAATTCTTAATAAATAGTTAGTTATATAGTTGCTTATTTATTCCTACTACAATGAATTTTTAAGTGGTTATGATTTAATAGAGATGCCTTTATCGGTTGCTACATGCCTCCATCAACAAACCAGAGCATCAGCAAGAAGGCTGGCTATTTCTATATAGTTACTGGTATTCTTACTGCCTGCCACCAGGCCAGATTCAATCAGATTCCCCTTGAAATCAGACAAAGAAAACAGAGTGAGATCGGAGGCGATATGTACACAGTACTGCTGATTGTACTACTTCATTGGTTCCAGTTTAATGGCAGTTACACACACAAAAGAAATGGAGTAACGTGCCTGCAAAGGCAGAGAAGAAGTAAAATGTAGAAATTAAAATATTTCTTAGTATTAGTTTTCAGGGGCTTGGAAATCATATGATACCTCACACTATAAAAAAGGAATGTCAAGAAAGCAAAGAAGCCTTGTTTCTGGGAAATGAGTCTTATTCTTTACCTTTAAATTTTTTTTAATAAGATAGTACAACTAATATTGAGCTAAATTTAACCAGTAACAAGTTACAGCACTGGTTTGTAAAATATCCCAGCAGCTGCTAGGCTTGAATGCTTCTGGTGCCTTCATTTAAGACAAAGTAACTTTATTATGCTGTTTGAATAAATTGTGTCTTATTGGAAGATTTATTTACTAATTATTAGATCAATGTACAAATTCTTCAGTTCAGCTCTATTATTAAATTACCAGAATACTTATTTTCTGTTGAAAATGTTGGTATTTGTTTCTAGCCCATTAAGGCCTTTCAGTGGCTAGATTTGTATGCTAGTTTTAAGAAGCCAAGCAAAATTGGCGTACCACATCAGCAGATTTTTTTGCTCAGTGCAAGAAAATTTTATTATATTTACCAATATTTGGCCTGTTTCTAGAAGGGCTGTTTTTGCAGTGCAAGAACTTCTCAGTCCAGAGATACTGTTGGAAGTTGCTCACTCTCTAGTTATTTAAAGTTGAGTGTGTGATTACAGCTTGCTTGTCATTCATTACAGTGCAATTAAGAAGGAACACCACATAATTAGACAGGTGGTCCCGTTGTTTTCAACTGCCTGTAAGTGGAGGTACATGTTGCATTACACAAATGACATCCTCCCTCAGTGCACAGTGTAAGAGATATGACAGCTGTAGTTAGCTCAAGGTATTTATACTTAAAGGACCAGTGTGTAGGATTTAGTGGCATCTAGTGGTGAAGTTGGAGTTAACTAACTGAACACCTCTCATGATGTATTTGATGGCCAGGGAATGAAAACGGACTGTGAATTGTGTAGGAGAAACTACAGTGGCCGCAGAACTCATGGGAAACGCTCTGTCTAAAGCTATCTAGAGTTTGGTTTATCCATTCTGGGCTACTGTAGAAACATAGCAGGAAGGCACCATAGAAGGCGCCCTGTAGCGTCTATAGATAGATATAAAAGGCTCATTCTAAGGTAACAAAAACATAACAATACTTATTTTCAGGTGACTATACACTAAAGAAAACATACTGATAAATATTATATTCCATTTCTGTCCGTAGAGCCTCCTAAATGTTACACACTGGACCTATAAGTTCTTATTTAGGTACAATGTTGGACTATTTATATTTAATAGTTACTTTGCAGGCACACAAAATCAATATGATGCATTTTTAAAGATTATTATTAATACTAACAATATAAGATTAGCTCCACTTCCACCAACTACAATATTCAAATTATTCTAAGATAATAATGCAACTGTAATCATGACTTAATACTATGATTTATAATAAAACTCACAGGGGCCATTTTCATCATAATGAGGACTTTTACTTTTGATACTTTAAGTACATTTTGCTGATGATATTTATAATTCCTCCACTGATCCAGAAAGCATAAAAAATCCCCTCCCACGACTGAATTAAACTTTTATGCACACAGTGAGAGCTCTTTTAAACAACATTCCACTGCTCATACCTGAGTACCATTTAGTTTTCAGGGTTTTTATATGTTATGGAGGATTTGTCCACTGTGGCATTTTAATGCTGGTAAATACACAGTCATGTTCATGTAGATGTACTGACACTGACTTAAGCTTCTTCACACTTCAGAATGAGTAGATAAGCTGCCGGCCTATGAGCTACCCAGACTCAAATCAGGCTTATTTATAGTGTCAGTGCAAACAAGGTGATAAAGGTTAATTTTTAAAGACATAATCACTATGACGAGTAGGAAGACAGCTAGCATCTTCCTAGCAGAAGTGAGTCCTGACAGTGATTCTGAACTTCTACTGGAAGGAAAAGTAACAGTTAACTTTTATTTTCTCATGTATCCAACAAGCATCTAGAATGTGATCATTATTTAGTCCTCAACAGGGAGACCTCTTCCCTACCTTTTTATACTTGCTTTACTAAACTTACTATAAAACTACATAAAGTTTTATGACTGAAATGTGAAATTATTCCTTGTTTGAAACCAATTCCGGTTTCTATTTAGTGTATCTGTTATATGATGACCCTATATAGTGTAAATCATTTCCAGTTATGGGGAAAGAGGGTGTTTGAAAAAAAAATTCAGAGAATATAATTCAGTTCTCTTTCTTTCTCATTTAGTCATTACTGAAACATACTGTTCTGATCTTCAGTACAGGTCTCCAGGTCCTCCATCATCTGCCCTACAGCAGGCTGATGAATGAAGGTGGAGGTTTGTGTGTGAACAACAGCTCACACTCCTACTGTGGAGTGGCCTGTGGACCTGTGAGAAATTTTGATGAGTGTCAGTGGGATGGCTGCAACAAGCCCATCACCACCAAGGTCGTCTGGATTATTTAGTGTAACACAGGCTGCTGTCCTGGTTGAAGAATATAGCTGTGGGTCCAACCCACCTTGCAAATTGAGCTGGAAAAAAAAAAAAATATCAGAAGAAGCTGGTGCTGCCTGGGTGATGTTTTACACCTTACCACTAGAGGTCACTGTAGGATCATGTTCTAACTATACAAAATGCTTTATTCATGAATAAAATGCATATTTTGTGTATGCAGTCATTTTATATGCACTTGTGAATTTTATTACAGCTGTTTGTTAAATCATGAAACCTGTGAACAAATTTGCTTTGCGATGCTTTTGTAACACTGATAGGTAATTATTATTAATATTATTTATATTATTATTATATCAGTATTACTGAAGCATCAAAATGTAAGCAGTACTGCAGTAGTTGGCTGAGGTATAGCTATTTTTGTGCTGCTTTATATACTATTGGATTGTTTCATCTATAACAATGCATCCTATTTAATAAACTGACGACGTGTAAAATTTCAATCTGCAAATTGACTAGTGACGATAGCTGTGAGATAAATGTAATCGAGTAAAACGTAATATTACCCTCTGAAATGTAGTGGAGTAAAATTATAGATTGTATTCAAGTTCTCAAACGTTACTATATGTTTGGTTTAGGCTCCTTGTCAGTAAAAAAATATGTGTTTTTATCAAGCAAAACATTTTAAGTATGTGGAAGATAATATAACCAACATGCTCTATGGTATACGTACATGTACCACATTCATTTCTATCACACTGTTACCATGTTAATATACATTTTATATCAACGGTTTCCCTTTACTCCACTAGTTCGCAGTTACTATCAATATAGGGTACAATAACAATATCAGCACAGTATAACAAGAAAGTCCACTGAAGAACTAAAGCATTTCAAAAGGCGTTTAGTGGAGCAGCCTCCTGATTAGCAGATCTCAGATGATGCAGCAGCGGAGAGGCTTCAGTGCAATCTGTCTTTACACTGTCGTGTCTATTAGCTTCATTGCCAACGGTCATGGTGTTATAAGGGCAGCAGTGGCTATAGTACGAGCTGGAATGTCTCCAGACACAGCTGGTATTGTATAGGCAGAAGCAAGCAGACAGCCATGAAAAACAGGAAGTAGATAGTGGGGGAGGGTCAGCAGCAGCAGTCCCTCTGATCCCCAGCATATGGCCTGCAATGGAAGTCATTTGGAGGCCTCTTCTGCCACCAGAGCCACTGTGTCAGAGATCATAACTCATTATATGCGCTCGTCCCTGTGCTGGCTGCCTGACTTCTCGGGCATCTAACCATTCTTTTGTTTAATCTCATTGTTTGCAACCATAGATTAGTTCCATTCAATTGCCCCCCTTATCTGAGAGAATAAGGTATGACCCAACAATGCAATACTTTCAAAAAGGGCACGCCTTCAGAGCGTGCATTAATTGCCATTGTGGGATTTGTTTTTGTTGTGTCAGCTGTTGGTTAATCAATGGTTAAAGCCGACTAAGGTTTAT